GGGGGGATGGGGGCCTGGAGTGGCTCCAGCCATCTCCAAAGCGCAGACACAGACATAGGGGCTGCTGGTTCAGCTACTCAGGTGCCTTGACACAGAGTACTGGCCCAGTGGTACTGGTCATCCCACTTTCCAGCCCCTGTTTGAGCTCCAGGAGGAAGCTGCGTTCTGACTTCTTAGAGGGAGGGACCTGGGGCCTTAGCCAACCAACAAGCCCTCAAGCTGGGACTAGGGCAGCCCTGTGTCATCAGGACGCCCTGGAGAGACTGTGTTTTCTCTATCTGGGGTCCAGACCTAAGCTCTGCTCTGGTCGTGGCACTTGACTCTTTCTTTTCAGGGCCATTTGTTTTGACTCTGGTGGGCATGGCCAAGATTACTCTTAAGTCCCTCTCCTAAGTAAACTATATCCACGAAGTATGTTATAATTACTAATAAGGTGATCCACAAAATGATTTGCTGAACTAGCTATGGAGGAAATAAATTACTTCGGACGTGAGGAAAATGAACCTCTAGAAGGTAATCATTTACAAAAGGCTTTGCATTCTAATTAATGGCATTCTGGTAATCCTTTCCTTCCTCTGAAGTAAATAGGTCTGCTCCTCTTTTCAGCTGGACTAAACATGAAGGAGACCAAGGTCACTGCCCTGCAATCAGGACTCCAGATCACCTATATTGGGAACCTAAGCATGACTTTCATTTCCTAAGCACTGCTCCCCACCCCTCCCCCAACCCTCTCATCTCTACCGGCAGCTGATAGTGGTGCACAGTCTAGTGGAGTCTGCCAACAGGATTTGCAGAACAGAAACAAGATACCTGGCCAGACTGTGAGGTTCTTGGGTCAGCAGGTCCAGAAAGCAAGACCTTCTGGAGACCCCTTCATTGGCCCTTATTCATTCAATGACAGAATTCCACAACAGCAGAGCCATGCAAATAGATGGCCTTTTCCTGTCTCACTGCCTACCGATAATGAAAGAAGTCACCCAAAATAGTGTTTGTTAGATTCTAGAGATCTGGGGGAGGATGGATCAAAGTAAGAAATTCTATCATTTTAAAAGCAGTCCAAGAGGGAGAGACAGTTCTGATCTCCCATGAACTGATCACGATGGCCTGCTATAGGACTTCAGGCTGTCTTGTCAGATTTGCTGAGTGGTCTAAGCTTCTGCTATGGCAAAAAAATAAAAGAGAAGAAAAGAAAAAAATCAAGGTAAGAACTTTTTCTAAGACAAAAGTTTCCTTTCAAAAGTGAATTTACTCTTGCCTTCTCTCATTGCAATCATCTTTTCTGTATGAGTTGAATGCTACTGAACTGACTACTTAATCAAAAAGTTGAGGGGACGGGAACCAGCAGTTAGCGTAATGGCTATGTCGCTGGACTCCCATGTAGTCGACCACGGTTCGCATTCCGGACCTGGTGGCTTAAAACTCACGCCGGGAGCGTGTGTGTGCATGCCCAAGATCCCGAGAGGAGAATGGAGGAGAAGGGATTGCGGCGTGACCATCCCCCCTGGGGGGTGATTTCTCGCTTTCTGTCTCTATGTCTCTCTCTGTCTGTCTGGTGAGCACACGTGCCCTATAGCAAAAACCTCTCCAAAAAAAAAAAGTTGAGGGGATGGAATGAAAATAAAAACTTTTTTTCTTCTCTTGCCTCACAATGGAAGAATAGTGAAGCTATGACCTTATGTGGCACTTTCAGGAAAAGCAGATCTAAAAGCTGTTTTCTTGGAGACACTCTGTTCCTTCTTTCTTTTCTTCTTTGCAACTTCCAACCCTCCTCAGACTCATTCACCCACTTCTAGATTACTCCAGCCCCAGGCATGAAGGGCTCTGAGTCTAAGAGGGCTACAGTCTGTGGCAATTTAAATATTTTTGAAAGTAACAACTATGAAGTGTTTTTGTCAGTGATATTATTCAGTTTCATCACAAGTTTCTAAAGAGGAATAAGGAGGATGAAAAAGAGATGCGTTTTAAATATTTTTAAAGTTCTCTTACCTCTTCCTTGTTGATCAGTCCCATTTTGGACATGTCTATATTAAAGTAGTGAATGTTTGGCAGGTTGACTTCCATATCCTCAATCTGGAAACCACAATAATATGTATCATATTGGGCAACCTCGAGTCTCTGTCTCTGTCACTCCATCCACCTTCACTCTCCCCACCTACCCCTAAACTATTACTTAAGTTCCATTTCTATTTTCTGAGAAGCCCTCTGATATTCCTCTACTGCCTGATTTTAATCTCTTCTGTTAGTCCAGTTCTAAGATGGTGGGTTCACTCTTCTCCCCTCAGTGTACAAAACCTGTTTCCCTGAAATGTAAGGCTCTTTGGGTCTGAAACATAGACCTGTTTGACATTTGACTGGCCTCCAGGTACTAACCAATGTCTCAATTCCTCCTCATTCCATTTCCTTCTCTCCAGGCCTGTTCCTAACATTCCTAGGCGCTGGGATAGAAGTATAATTGGAAACCCACATGCCTGATGTATAAAGATTTAAAAGTTATAAATCAGGCCAAAAAACTTTTATGTGAAATTTATTCTATGCTTCTAACTTGATATACCTACACAATAAACTGGAAGGCCAGATTTTCACTTAAAATTCCCTGACTGCTTGAAGTGCCATGCCAGGAGAGGCAGGATAAGAAGAGCCAGCCCCATCCCCAGGCTCATGCCACTTTCTCTCTTGGCTAACATGTGTACATGCATTGCAGCTTATATGTCAATTCTTCATGCCTCCTGCAAACATCTTCCCTTTGCCCACTCCCAGCCTGAGGTGTGGGCACCAGAAGCACAATCTGCCCTTCCAAGGATAGATTTTGGGAAGAGTCTTATTCAGTTTCTAGAAGTACTATCAGGGATCTTTGGACAGGAAGTTTTGAGGGACGTACAGGGCCTTGGCTTTGTTGCCATGGCCCCATCGTCTCTCCACCCAGTGGAGGCATACGTAACAAAGAAGGGCCTAAAGGAAGCCTCTGAAGCACTGGGCCATGGCAGGAGTCTCTCTTAGGGTAATATCTCCTCTCTCCATCCCACCATAGCCTTTGGCCAGGGTCACCTTGCCAGATTTCCATAATAGTGTCCCAGTGGGTCTCCTTGCCTGTGGCTCGTCATCTTTTTAATTTATCCCACAGCCTGAAAAATCTTTCTAGAATGCAAATCTGGCTATCCCACACCCTGTCTAACCCTCTCAGCAGCTCCTAAGAACTTCCAGGATAGAGTACAGACTCTATAGATGAGCCCACAAAGGCCCTTTTGACTTGGAACGTGGAAAGACTTTCACTCCAGGAGTTTCACCTATTGTGACCCTAACCATCAATGACTGTATTGTGCTTTCTCCCATCTCCATGTCAAACCTGCTCACTTACCCTTGAGTATGAACTCAGAATCCTTCCTTGTCCCTAAAGACTCAGACACATCTCCCTCCAGAAAACTTGACTGGCCCTATCCGCTATACCTAAGTTAGGTGCTTTCCTCTACATTTTCATAATAATCTATTCTCTTCTGTATTGCTTACTTATTTTCTTCTTTCACTGAAAAATGAGCTGTGGGGGTAGAAACCACATCAAATTTATCCTTGTATCCCTGTGTGCTGCCACACCATTCAATAATATCAAATAAGTGGATGGTGGATGGGAGGATGCAATCTCTACCTTTCATTCTCTGGCTTCCCTGAAACACAGAAGCTCAGCCTCTCCAACTACAGCATGGGGCCTGTATTTCAGGCTGGACAGATTTTTCCATTTTTTGCTCTCTTCTCACTTGCTATAACGAGCTTTTGAACAAGAACAGATGTCATTTTTCATGTGTCTTCCACTTTCTTATTTTAACTCTCAACTCTTTCTCAGAGCTGACAGGAGATACAATCCCCAGAATGGCAAGTGACAGAACATACCTCAGGAATCCGGCTCAGAGAGAGGGCCTGGATGTCATAGAGGGTCTTCTGGATAGAGGGCGAGTACTCGCCTTTGTCACAGGGCCCAGCAAATTTCTCCAGGACAATGTCCCGAACAGTGACCCTTAAACAGAGAAAAGAACTGAGGACTCTCACAGGATGGTACTGTAGGAAGGCATTATGAAACTAAGAAGTAGAGACTATTCTGTCCCCCCAGAAAATAATTCTGTTAATGATTTCAAAAGAGATTAATATCCTATAGTGCCCCAAAACAGCAACATCAAAAACCCTCTTTATGGGCTGTTTCCCTCCACACACACACACACACACACACACACACACACACACACGCACACACACGCACACGCGCACGCACGCACGCACGCATGCACCATTCAGCAAACATATTGAGCAGCCCTAGGCTATCCTCATAGTTTGGCACCAGGGCCGAATGGGCATTTCAGGGTAAATAACCTACCATAATGAAGAGGACCCCCAAGGTCTCAAACCCCCTACTGCTTTGTCTGACTGATTCCTTGAATTGTTACAGCAGGGGGCACGACTCTGTGCTAGCCTCTGTGCTAAGCATTTCATGTCATCACGTCACTGGATTCTCTCACGTAGGTACTACTATCATCCCTAACTTAGAGAAAAAGAGCCTGTGCTCAAGTGTTAAATGATCTGCTCCAAGTCCCTGTCTTTAGCGGGAGGCCCAGACTACTGCCCTGACTCTGGCATGTTCTGTTTCATACCCTTCTCAACATAAATCCATTAGGCTGCTGCCCATGAGCAACAACTGAAACCAAAAAGGGAAAAAAGGACTGAGGCAAGGTTCTCTTCAAACATTTTAAGGTCTATCACATATTAAAGAGTGGAGGAAAACTGTATCAGACAGAGGAAGGTATGTGGGGTGGGAGTTGAGGGAGTGGTCAGATTTCAGCTTATCATAGCATAGAAATTTCTAGAAGAATGTCAGCAAAGGAGTAAGATACCAGTCAAAGGGACCAGCAGATGGCATAATGGTTACGTGGCTGGGCTCCCAGGTAGTCAACCATGGTTCGAGAACCAGACCTGGCAGCTTAAAACTCACACCAGGCATGTGTGTTCATGCCCCAAAACCCAGAGAATGGAGGAAAGGAGATTTGGCATGGCCATTCCTTCGGGGAGATGATTTCTCACTTTCTGTCTGTCTCTCTCTCTCTCTGGCAAGCACAGAAGCCCTATAGCAAAAATCTCTCTCTCAAAAAAAAGAAAGATAGCAGTAAAAAAGCAAACTCCTGGGAGTTCAGAGGCCTAATTACTCTTTGTCATGAATATTATAATAATCATACCTCTGCATTTTTCAAAGCCTTCATCATTTACAAAGTGCTCTAACGAATATCATATTATTTTGCATTTAGCCTATGATGATCAATGAGCTAAATTTATCTTGGTTTATCTGAGAACAAGGGGTTTCCTGGATATAGGACTTTCAGTGTTAGAAACAGGAAAGTCCCTGGCAAACTGGATCAGGATGGCCACTCTAGTTTAGCCCTCTCTACATCACTATGTGGTAGCAAGGCTGCATAATGTCTTCCTTTGATACAGTGTGGTTCCTGGGACAGAAACATCAGCATCACCCGAGAGTGAGTTAGAAATACAAATTATCAGGTCCCACTAAGAACCTCTGGAGTGGGCCCAGCTATCATCATTTTAACAGGCCTGTCATTGATTCTGATGCACGAGAGTGACTGAGAATCACTGATTTAATCAAATAAAGAACAGAAGGGATTTCTGAATAATGGGAAGGGGCATTTTGAATAGCCTCTAGTCTTCTTTCAGATCTAAGGCTCCAGGGCCCCTGGCCCCATGAGAAAAGGGCCGACCCTGTCCCAGTACCATATCCTAGCACACTTTCATACCAGGTGGCCTCGAAGTCCACGTCTCTGCCCTGCTGGTAGCGCCACTTGCAGTACACTTGGGTGGCACAGCACCGGTCCTTCACCTCCGGGAGGGTGGTAAACTGGTCCTTGATGAAGCCTTCAAAGCCGGACTGGGTTGTTTTCAAGACCTTGAGGTCTTTGATTCCAGAATGAATGACTGGAAGTCCTTTTTCAAGCAAGAAGGTAGGAAGAGATTAGGTCAAAAACAACACAGGGTCTTGTTACTGACAGCTGGCACCAAGGATCCCGTCACTAAACCACAGTGCACTGTGTTTGTACAAAGACCTCTATCACTGCCCATGTTTTCTGCCTTCCTGTCTCCTCTGAAGCCCACATGATAAGGATGGTGCGCCTTTCCGCTCATCAGGACTCCACGGCTCCCTGCTCTTTCCTGCCTTGGAAAACTGGATGGCTGAGAAAAAAACGTGTTGAGAGCCACAGAAACGAAGACTGTCCTCTCAGCTAATAGTGGGGTACCTATAACTTTACACGGGGCTCCATCTGTTTCAACTGGTAATAATGCTGAAATGAGTTCATAGCTCCTCTAGCGCTCCACCTGCTCCCGTGACCCCTTTACTGGGGGCAGTCCTCACGCTAATCAGCAGTGGCCGATGACTCCGATGTAAGTAGGCCCCGATGATCTCTTAGTTCCCGTGTGGTTATCAGCTCTCCGTAACAAACAACCTCATGAATGGGTTGCAGAGTGGGCGTGCTGAGCCTAAATAAAGACTGGGAAGCTGAGGCTGGTGACTCATAAGGTACAGATCTGCCTGAGTTGGTATCCGTAAAGGCTTTTGCTTTTTGGCTGAAGGAGAAGAGACAAAGTGGATTCATGGGTAATGGAGGGTGGGTAGTACTGAGGACAATGGAGGGATGATATGGCTCTGTTTCTGCTGTGCCTTCCTGAGGTAACAGGACAGGTGGAGGGTGATAGGCACAATCCACAAAAGCTGTTTACTTGGGTGCCAAGCAGTTGTAGCCCAGGTCCAGGTGATAGGTAAGGCGCAGAGTTAGGGAGGGGAACATTGTCTTTACGGACTACTCTGTAGCTCCAGCAGCTTAGTGAAGCCTAAAGAGAACATGGTGCCCGATGACATGTTGGGAAACCCCAGGGTACCGTGCTCTGTGGAGAGAGGCATTCTTCTTAAGGACTAGCAGGAACAGGCCCAGCAAATGCTGGGCAGAGCCAGTAAGACAGCAGTTGTACCCACTGGGGACAAACTTCTTCAGCAAACGTGCGATAGCCTTTGATGTTAACAGAAGGTGAGAGTTTGGCTGGAAAGGCCCAGCAGTTTTGTAGTGAGACCAGCAAAATCCAGGAATTAGCATTACTATGATCTTATTTATGTGCACAGGCTGATGAGGACAGAGTACATTCAGGAAATCTTTGGCAAAACCCCAGTAGCAAAGTGCCATGGCGGGATTATTAAGGTTACTTTTTTTACTCTCTAACAGTCCTGTCGAATATCTATCTTTCTTGGCCTGATTAGTTTATAAATCAAGGCTCAGAGGCATCAAGTATCATGATGCACTGTCTTACTTGGAGCGCAAGAACGTAACGCACGATCCTCAATTAAAATCCAAGGAAGCTCTTAAAAACCTAACAGTTGACATGACCTATGTGATTTCAGTCGCTGCAGTTAACTCAGGAGCTGTGGAGTTTCAGAACTAGATAAACAATGACTAAAATGTTTATATACATGGCCACCTACAAGAGAAAGCAAGGACCAGTGGCCCACGGTTGGACTGCTATTAAATACGTTCTCATTAAATAAAGCGTTCTGTGCACAGTGTTCCAGGGTAATGCGCTAAAACAGAACATGATCATTGTTTCACTTTCCCACGTGCTCATCGGAAGCTGTATCTGAGGAAGGAGGAAGAGAAAGATGCCTGCAATGCCTTAGTGAGTTCAGTTGGCGGCATGGATCAGATTCTAAATGTGTGAAGACACAGTCCCACAAAATCAGTTTCTAAATGTACTGACTCCAAGTCTCAAACCCATGAGAACGGGAGAAGCAATCAATAAGTATCTGTTGAATGAAGGAGTATAACAAGATTGTTTCAGGACAAGGACTAAGTACCTCGCAACTTGGCCCTTTTCTCTTCTGGATAGTTCACCTCCATCAATCTTTATTGTTTCCCCGCCTGACCCCTCATTTATATAGTGTGTGGAGGAGGGGGAGGAGCATCAACATTGGCCAAGAACTTCCTGCCCATAGACATGTCTCTGGTTACTGCTGTGTTCAGTCTTTATCGTATCGAATCCTCAAAACTCTACAAATTAAGGTATTTTCATGTAGGCAACTTTCTTTTTTTCTTTTTTTTTTTTTTTTTAATTTGCCAGAGGAGGCATGGTCACAATGCAATCCCTTCACTTCCATTTCTCCCTTCTTTCAGGATTTTGGGCACACATGCACATGCGTCCATGTGTTTCTCAAGCTGCTCTGTCTGGGACTCAAACCACGTGGTTGACTATGTGGTATCTAGCTGCCTTAACCACCAGGCCATGGAAGCAGTCCATCCTTGCTCCTCCAACCTCAGGTAATTTTAATTTTTTGTTTAAATTTTTTTTTTTTTTTGGAGAGGTTTTTGCTATAGGGCGTATGTGCTCACCAGAAAGACAGAGAGAGACAGAGAGACAGAAAGCGTGAAATCACACCCCAGGGAAGATGGCCACACCACAATCCCTTCTCCTTCAGTCTCCTCTCGGGATCTTGGGCATGCACACACATGCTCCTGGCGTGAGTTTAAGTCACCAGGTCCAGGATTCGAACTGTGGTTGACTACATGGGAGTCCAGCGACAGCCATTACACCAACTGCTGGTCCTCCCAGGTAATTTTTAATCACTTGCCGATAATTACATGGCTAAAAACTGGCACAGATAAAGTTTAAACATTATGAAATCCTACACATTCCTTCTGCCTTTTCGAACCCGCATCTATACAACGTTTCCTCCTCCCTTTAACTCTCGTTCCTCATTTCTATACCATAAGAGGCCTTTCCAGAAGAAAAGAAGGTTGCCACCTCCCATTCCACAATATTCTTTAAGGACTCAGACAGAGCTCCCAGCCTGAAAAATGCTATTTTCCTTGGTCTAAAATGGAGGGTGAAGCGTAATTTCGAAATGGCTAGGCCAGCCAGGTGGTGTGATGGTTAAGGCAGCTGTACCCCACATGAACTATAGTACAGCTCCAGTCCTAGACCCAGCACCCTGGAAAACACACTGGACACGTGTGTGTCCATGTCCAAAATCCCAAGAGAAGAATGAAGGAAAAGAGAATGGGCGCAATCATCACCCCTGGGAGGGTGCTCGCTCACTTCCTCCCTCTTTCTCTTTCTGGTGAGCACATGCAACCTATAATGAAAATAGTTTTTTTAAAAGAAGTGGTATATTTTGAATACTTACTATTCCTTATAAATTTCCTACTGAAATGTAAAGATCTCTTAAAAGAGTGACTCCTGGAACCAGGAGATGGTGTAATGGTTAAGACACTGGACTCCCACAAGGATGACTGTGGTTCGAGTCCTGGACCCAGTGGCTTGAAACACATTGGGCATGTGTGTTTGCGTGTGCCGGACATACTGAGAGGAGAATGGAAAAGAAGTAACTGTGTAAGGCCATCCCCCTCGGGGGGTGATTTCTCACTTTCTGTCTTTCTGAGTCTCTCTGTTTCTCCAGCAAGCTCACAGGCCCTATGGCAAAAATCTCTTAAAAAAAAAAAAAAAAAGAGTGAATCCTTAAACCTTTGTAAGTTAATAGTATTATCTGCTTTCAACAATAAGCCTAGAAAACAAAATCCTACAGAAATGAAATGTTGGTTTGTAATCAGGACTGCAGTTAAAACGAGTAGTACAAACTGTGGAAGGAGAATAAAAAGAAGGTAAAAGAGACCCGAAGGCAAATGTTACCTACTTCCCTTTTTCTTACATGGTTGGCCTTGATTACCAACATCCATGCAACCCAATCAGACTTGAGTTGCTGCAATGACCTTAAACATCAAAGGACGCCTGAATCAGTGTTGTATAATGACTGAATCCATAGCTTTGGGACTCAACTTCCCTGAAGTCAGCCCAGCACTCTCCCCACCTCCCCACCTCCCTTTTATGAATTCTGTACCACTGAAGAAATTATTCAATTTCCTTCTACCTTGATTTTCTCATCTATTAAATGGAGACAATAATCATACCTCTTCTCTGGAGTTGATACATTCCTAAAAGAAAGCACGTCAAGGTGCACTGATGGAGAGGCTCCCCTGAGAAATGCTCTGTAGCAGTTATGAGGCTGACTCTGCCATAATTGACTCTTCCATATCGATTTCAACCACCTGTAAATATTTTCTGTGTTTTGCAAGGCTCCCTGGGTTCTGAAGACTACTACTAGCTCCCTCCAGCCCTGGGATGAGATTTATTGATCTTAGAGGAGTGTCAATCTTGCTAGGTCACTTTAAAATGATCTACTTTCTCTCTAGAATCTAAACATGGAGAAAGCAGTTGCATTTTTAAGTGTGTTTTGGCATCAGTTTCACACAGAATAAAATACCTCATGTTATCAAAAACGATAACCTATTGCCACAGTTTTGGCAGAACACAAACCATCTACTCCAGTGTGCTCATCATTCTGTCAACAACAACAGCAACAAAATCTATTCTCTTCGAATGGTAAGGGAATTTTTTCCTTGGCACCCTTTAGACACATTGGATGGAACCAGAGAGCTTATTTTATCTTCTCTATTGGCAGTGTCCCAGCTTTCTGAATGCTGGTGAGAACCTGAGGCTTTCAAATTCATAGGTCCATCAACTAAAAATATGATGCCTCACTCAAGCACTCTAAAAATGACTCCAATTTAGATGAACGAGAAGTAATGCAACCAAAAAGACTGTCCTTTTCTAGGTTACTTCCCATGAAACCACTTAATCAGCTTTTTTTTTTTTTTTTTTCCTTTTCTGCCATGGTTGCGGGGTAATGTAAGAGAAAGATATTTCACATGTTACTTTGCTAGAACATAATCTTTTCTAGCTTTTTAGTGTCCTCCTACACACTTAACAGATTGTGGTTTATCTCTCAGAGAAGCATACGTCCTACCCTTTAGTTCTTTAAGGGAAAGAAACTCACTGTGAATTAATAGAAAATAAGCCCAATTCCTTACCTACGCATCAGGTGTCAC